AACTCTAAATGTGTTTAGGTCAAAAAACTTTCAGAATCAACTCACCCAACAAATAAACCGAAACTGCTCTTTAAAACTCGACCTTCATATACATGTTTTACAGCTTTTTTCTCCTTCTCAGAATCTCGGCTTATGCTGACGCTTCTCTCTCCAGCTTGATTCATTATGCTCTTACGCCTGGGGGATGAGGTTGCGTCCTAATCCACCTCGGTCCTCGTGCTCTTACGCCTGGGGGATGAGGTTGCGTCCTAATCCACCTCGGTCCTCGTGCTCTTACGCCTGGGGGATGAGGTTGCGTCCTAATCCACCTCGGTCCTCGTGCTCTTACGCCTGGGGGATGAGGTTGCGTCCTAATCCACCTCGGTCCTCGTGCTCTTACGCCTGGGGGATGAGGTTGCGTCCTAATCCACCTCGGTCCTCGTCCACTGATATTCGAAGCCTCGGTCCCCTGATGCTGGTCAGCACTTCGCCTTCAGTTCACTTGTTCACTTGAACACTTCACAGTGTTCACTTGTTTTACCATTCTCTCAGAAATCGAGAGGCAGTTTTATCATTCTTTCAGATTTCGACAGGGAAATTTATATTTCTCAGAGTTCAACGGGCTAATTTTATCATTTCCTCAAAGATCGACGAACTATTTTCATCATTTTCTCAGAGATATATGGACCAATTTTATAAATTTCATTGATATTGACGGAAAAGTTTATAATTTTCTTGGAGATCGAAGTACTAATTTTATCATTTTCTCAGAGATCGACGAACCAATTTTATCATTTTCTCAGAGATCGACGAACCAATTTTATCATTTTCTCAGAGATCGACGAACCAATTTATCATTTCTCAGAGATCGACGAACCAATTTTATCATTTTCTCATAAATCGACGGACCAATTTTATCATATTCTTAGAGATCTACAGGGAAATTGTATCGACGGGTCAATTTTATTATTCCTGTAGATCATCTGGAATCTGCACTTCAGTGTTTGTCAAGACACTCTTGAAACACCTGGCAGGCAAGCACAGCCTCCCGTCCATAGGAGCGTATTGCAAGACTATTTTGCCTTAATTGGCCGCCGCTCCGGCAAGCATGTCGCTCTGTTGAGTGATTCATCCTCTGTCGTGTGGACTTGATGTGGCTGGCGGAAGTAATTCTCATAGAATTTATCGCTCGTCTCTTACTGTGCATGATGTCCAGTTTTGCTTTTTTTTCTCTTCAGTATAACCCACAGCTAGTGTAGATATATTCTTACGCACACACACACACACACACACACACACACACACACACACACACACACACACACACACACACACACACACACACCACACACACATAAACCTGTGGGTGGGTCTCCTCACACCACAGTATATCCCCCCCTGCACCACAATATATCCTCCTACATGACGCATTATGTGAACTTTGTACAAGAATTCTGAAGATTTTAACTAGTATTGAATTACACCTTTCACTGCTACTGTCAATAATAATAATAATAATAATAATAATAATAATAATTGTAATATTAGTAGTAATTATAATGCAACTGTTAATAATACTGAAAGTATAGGTAATTACCGTTAATACAAAATCTAAACTTTATCTTGTTTTTGTATTCAGGAGAAATCAATAAGAGACTTTAAACACAATCAGGAGAAAACAATACGGAACTTTAAAGACAATCACGAGAAAAACAAGACGGAACTTTAAACACAATCTGATCATTCGCGGTCTTACAAACCGAAATCTCCTCCTCGCCTCAATCTTTTATTTTTAATTTCTCGGCGGATTTCGACCAAATCTCTCTCGATGATAGTTTTAAGATTTTTAAAGAGAGCTTAACCTTGTGCGTTGGTAGGCGGGAGATGACCCGGATGACCCCCCCCCCAAGCCATGACCTGGTCTCACCTACCGTGGGAAGGGTTCACCAGAAGTGTCCGCTGGACCGTCTTCAAGACACACTTAATTATACATCTTTCCTTATCTCTGCTCCGTGTTCGTTTCCGCTAATGACCGCCATTCAGCAGGATGGTTCAGTGCGCTCGTGCTCCGTAACAATTCCTTCCTGTGTCCTCTTTTGCCTTATGAAATGTCTAAAGAAAATGGTGGTTACTAAGAGGTACAAATCCTCTTTTTCGTCTACGAAAGTTGGTGGTATAATTCCTGCTAAATATTCCACTATAAATCAATATAAATTATTTCCATGCAGGCTGCTTGGTCCGAGTGTTTGACAATAAAATGATGAATCACTCATACAAAGAGTTCGACTTTCACTCTAAAGGTCTTAGAAGACCCTGTGACTGAGAGTAAACACCGTGGGAGGGTGTGTTGGGGAGTGAGGGGGGCCTTACTCAGTCGTGGTCTCCAGTCTTGCTCGGTTACAGTCCGGTCTCTCTGATACAGTCCGGTGTCTCTGATACAGTCCGGTCTCTCTGATACAGTCCGGTCTCTCTAATACAGCCCGGTCGTTCTGATACAGTCCGGTCTCTCTGATTCAGTCCGGTCTCTCTGATACAGTCCGGTGTCTCTGATACAGTCCTGAGCTCCGCCAACAGCGGACGTAGAGATCGGACTGTATCAGAGAGACCGGACTGTATCAGAGAGACCGAACTGCATCAGAGAGATCGGACTGTATCAGAGACACCGGACTGTATCAGAGAGATCGGACTGTATCAGAGACACCGGACTGTATCAGAGAGATCGGACTGTATCAGAGACACCGGACTGTATCAGAGAGACCGGAATGTATCAGAGAGATCGGACTGTATTAGAGAGACCGGACTGTATCAGAGAGATCGGACTGTATTAGAGAGACCGGACTGTATCAGAGAGATCGGACTGTATTAGAGAGACCGGACTGTATCAGAGAGATCGGACTGTATTAGAGAGACCGGACTGTATCAGAGAGATCGGACTGTATTAGAGAGACCGGACTGTATCAGAGACACCGAACTGTATTAAGAGAGACTCTCTGATACTTCCCATTTTCTTGTTTTTTCTCGTGGTGGACAAAAGCAGGGGAGAAGGGAAGTCACTCTGACGTTCTCAGGTTTGCATGGATCTCAGGATCTACACCCAATAAACGACACACCCAGTAAACGACACACCCAATAAACGACACACCCAATAAACGACACACCCAATAAACGACACACCCAATAAACGACACACCCAAGGGGTGACACACCCAAGGGGTGACACACACCTACAACCCGACCCCCACACCCTGCGCCGGCAACACTGTGAGCACACGTTACAACTAACCACGACAACACTATAATGTTTTCAACACAGAAAGGCCTCGGTAGCGTCGTCCACCACACAGTAAGTCTGCCTCTTGACACACAGATACAACACAAAATAAAATTCTTCCCCCCGATACCAACAGAGCCACAACACCGAGTCGAGTCTAAAACCTGATAAAAGTATGTACCCCCTCTACGTCATCGCTCTACACTGTAAACAAACCCGACCCATCCTAACCTAACCTGACGAAAATAAGACGTTAAATGTTGTGTTTTGTATATGGTGTAGACGATGTGTGTGTGACGTCACTATGGGTTATAGATCCTACCAGACAACGCAGACAGACTTCCCTGTAGCGTCAGTGCGTAATGTGGTATTCTGTGGTCACACAGCAGACTTCACAACAGATCTCTTCCCAGCCAGTGTCTGTGAATCTTGGAGATTCACTTCAACACGGTGAATCTCCAGGAACACAACCACGACACACCAAATCTCCCTCAAGCACACATGTGCCACTGAATACATCTTTTGGTAACACACCATTGTGTTGCAACACAATAAAAGAATTTAAATTTTCAGAAGACCACTAAGAATCATCTTAGTGTTTCAGCTTCACCAAAAGCAAACTTAATGTTAGAAGACAATCCAATTAAAAACTTAAGCGTCATAATTAATAAACTCGAAACACTGATCTCTTTCCACAGATGAATAATGTGTAATACAAATAAATAATTACAATACAAAACACAATTATACACGTGGCAGTAACAGAAACCTCATATTACAATAATAATAATAATAATAATAATAATAAATACAAAGAAATAGAGATCAATCGCATTACACAGATGTTCTGGGAAGTAGGCCTATTGCACTACTGAGAGTCGCTGTATTCTCTGTATTGTATATAGGCCTATCACACTTTGCTGCTCACAAGATTGATCCATCATGGCGTACTCGCCTCTTGCTTGTGAGTCTCAAAGGTGGGCAGCAAGGTGAGTGTATAGCCAGGTGGGCAGCAAGGTGGGTGTATAGCCAGGAGGTGGGCAGCAAGGTGGGTGTATAGCCAGGCGGTGGCCAGCAAGGTGGGTGTATAGCCAGGAGGTGGGCAGCAAGGTGTGTGTGGCAGGAGGTGGGCAGCAAGGTGGGTGTATAGCCAGGCGGTGGGCAGCAAGGTGGGTGTATAGCCAGGCGGTGGGCAGCAAGGTGGGTGTGGCCAGGAGGTGGGCAGCAAGGTGGGTGTGGCCAGGAGGTGGGTAGCAAGGTGGGTGTATAGCCAGGAGGTGGGCAGCAAGGTGGGTGTATAGCCAGGAGGTGGGCAGTAAGGTGAGTGTATAGCCAGGAGGTGGCAGCAAGTTGGGTGTATAGCCAGGAGGTGGGCAGCAAGGTGGGTGTATAGCCAGGAGGTGGGCAGCAAGGTGGGTGTATAGCCAGGAGGTGGGCAGCAAGGTGAGTGTATAGCCAGGAGGTGGGCAGCAAGGTGGGTGTATAGCCAGGAGGTGGGCAGCAAGGTGGGTGTATAGCCAGGAGGTGGGCAGCAAGGTGGGTGTATAGCCAGGAGGTGGGCAGCAAGGTGGGTGTATAGCCAGGAGGTGGGTGTATAGCCAGGAGGTGAGCCAGCAAGGTGAGTGTAGCCAGGAAATGGGCAAAAATACAGGTAATACCAGGAAATCTAGAAGAAGATGGAGGTACCACCATCTTCAAGGGTTCTGGGGGACAAGAAGACAGGAGCGACCAGGAGGTAGAGAAGACTCACCTTACAACCTTCGCAGGTGAAGGCGCCGAAGTGGAAGCCTGCAGCGGGCTCCCCACACACCTTGCACAGCTGGTTCATCCTACCACAGGAGAGAGACACAAGCCCATTAATACCAAGAACAAATTCTCGCTTAAAAATACAGAAATAAATGAGAAAGCAAGTTGTCAACATTCAAACATTACGTAGATGAATGGGGGGGGGAATCAGAATAGGCAGTAGGAAAAGAAAATGTGGAAACCCAAATAATAAACATAATTTTTTGGGTGGGAGATGTTTACTGTGATGGTCAACTCGTAAGGTTTAACGCCCGTGACCCGCTGGGAGATCCCGCCTCTCTCCCAGACATATATATATATATATATATATATATATATATATATATATATATATATATATATATTATATATATATATATATATATATATATATTATATCAACTATTACTAACTACTATTAACTAATTTTTATTGCACACGCACACACACACACACACACATTAGAAAGAACTTTTTCATTGTCAGAGTAGTTAGTAAATGGAATGAACTAGGAAGTGATGTTGTGCAAGCAGACTCCATACACAGTTTCAAATGTAGATATGATAGAGCTCAAGAAGCTCAGGAATCTGTACACCAGTTGATTGACAGTTGAGAGGCGGGACCAAAGAGCTAAAGCTCAACCCCCGCAAGCACAACTAGGTGAGTACAACTAGGTGAGTACTTACATATTGATGATATGTAAGTAAATATTCGTGACCCGGTACAGGTGGTCAACAAATGGAATACACACTGGAAGGAGACGTTATGGAAGCCACCTCCATCCACAAATTCTAGCCAAAATTCGACAAAAATTTCGAGTTAAAATAGCTAAATGATACAGTATGTCTAGTAGGCGGGGCATAAAGAGTTAGACCTTATTCCCTTATTCTCTCTCTCTCTCTCTCTCTCTCTCTCTCTCTCTCTCTCTCTCTCCTCTCTCTCCTCTCTCCTCCTTTCTCATACCCACACCAATAAACGGTGGACACACACACACACACAAACACAACAGGAGCAGCCGTAACAGCTGTCTAACTCCCAGGTACCTATTTACTGCTAGGTAACAGGGGCATCAGGGTAAAAGAAACTTTGCCCATGATTTGTTTCACGCCCCTCATGTTACCCTCCATTCCCTCATACAACCCTCCACCCCCTCATACAACCTCCACCCCCCTCATACACCCTCCACCCCCTCATACAACCCTTCCCACCCTCATACAACCCTCCCACACCCCTACCCCCCTCATACAACCCTCCATCCCTCATACAACCCTCCACCCCCTCATACAACCCTTCCCACCCCTCATACAACCCTCCACCCCCTCATACAACCCTCCACCCCCCTCATACAACCTCCACCCCCCCATACACCCTCCACTCCTTCATACAACCCTCCACCCCCCTCATACAACCCTCCACCCCCCTCATACAACCCTCCACCCCCTCATACAACCCTCCACCCCCCTCATACAACCCTCCACCCCCCCCTCATACAACCCTCCACCCCGCTTCCACCACCTAAATTTGAATGCCTGATTCACTCGTGAAGGAACTTTCAAATTTAATGTTTTCAAGAAGGTGCTTCATATCATTCAGGAATCCAAATAACCTGAAACTGATAAAACAGAGCTTGCAGAATGTGAGTATTGGGAAATTATAATTTGCCAATATCAGTAATTATATATATATATATATAGTATATTTTGGTAGCAGTCTTTCCTGTAGACATATTTTATTAAATATGACCGAAAAAGTAAGATTAATAATTCTAACACGAATTTTCTCAATCTTTCGTACATTATGCTTCACTGTTGGAGGTAAATCAAAAATCACTTCTCCAAAATTCATTTTATTTCTAGTCTGACGCGACACGGGCGCGTTTCGTAAAACTTATTACATTTTCAAAGACTTCACAAATACACAACTGATTAGAACTTGCGTTTCCCTGTTTTTATATCTACATTTGAGTGAGGTGGGAAGGGTGATGTGGCATTACATTTGAGTGAGGTGGGAAGGATGATGTGGCATTAGAGGATATTAATAGGGTATTAAAAGTATCAACACAAGACAGAACACGAAACAATGGATATTGAATAGAAGTGTTTGTAGAAAGCCTATTGGACCAATTGGCTTTCTACAAAACACTTCTATTCAATATCCATTGTTTCGTGTTCTGTCTTGTGTTGATACTTTTAATACCCTATTAATATCCTCTAATGCCACATCATCCTTCCCACCTCACTCAAATGTAATGCCACATCACCCTTCCCACCTCACTCAAATGTAGATATAAAATCAGGGAAACGCAAGTTCTAATCAGTTGTGTATTTGTGAAGTCTTGAAAATGTAATAAGTTTTACGAAACGCGCCCGTGTCGCGTCAGACTAGAAATAAAAATGAATTTTGGAGAAGTGATTTTTGATTTACCTCCAACAGTGAAGCATAATGTACGAAAGATTGAGAAAATTCGTGTTAGAATTATTAATCTTACTTTTTCGGTCATATTTAATAAAATATATATATATATATATATATATATATATATATATATATATATATATATATATATATATATATATATATATATATATTTCAGGAATCTGTACATGTTTTAGATGGAGATGTATTGGGTTAAAATTATATTCTATGCTTAACTGACATCAAAATATAGCCATCAATGGCCGACTATTAATTGATTGTCATCAAGTGATAGCTGTCAAGTGACAACTATTAATCTATTGCTGTCAAGTGAAATCAAGTGACAACTATCAAGTGATAGCCATCAAGTGGTAGCCATCAAATGGTAGTTATCAAGTGATAGTTATCAAGTGGTAGCTGTCAAGTGAATCAAATGATAGGTATCAAGTGATAGTTATCAAGTGATAGCCATCAAGTGGTAGCCATCAAATGGTAGTTATCAAGTGATAGTTATCATGTGGTAGCCATCAAGTGGTAGCCATCAAGTGATAGTTATCAAGGGATAGTTATCAAGTGGTAGCCATCAAGTGGTAGCCATCAAATGATAGTTATCAAGTGATAGTTATCAAGTGGTAGCCATCAAGTGGTAGCCATCAAATGATAGTTATCAAGTGATAGTTATCAAGTGGTAGCCATCAAGTGGTAGCCATCAAGTGATAGTTATCAAGTGATAGTTATCAAGTGGTAGCCATCAAGTGGTAGCCATCAAGTGATAGTTACCAAGTGATAGTTATCAAGTGGTAGCCATCAAGTGGTAGCCATCAAGTGATAGTTATCAAGTGATAGTTATCAAGTGGTAGCCATCAAGTGATAGTTATCAAGTGGTAGCCATCAAGTGGTAGCCATCAAGTGATAGTTATCAAGTGGTAGCCATCAAGTGATAACCATCAAATTAGCTGGAACAAAAAAGTTTTATCAAATATGTAAAAAAAAAAAAAAACTTAAGATAAATGAGGCTCGGTGTTCCAAACAATCTTTGTTTAGGCCCCTGACACAGCAACCGTCATTTGCGTTAACGAAGCAACCGTCGTTAACGCAGTCAACATCGCTGACGCAGCAACCGTTTTTGGACGCGGCAGCCGCCATTGACGCAACAACCGTCATCGACGCGGCAACCGCCATTGACACATTAACCGCTTTTGACGCAACTTTGAATGCGCATTTAACAAAACCAACACAGGCGGGGAAAAAAAAAGGTCCCTCAACCCCCCATGAAGCGCAGCGTCGAGCTGGGCGATCATCGCACACTGTCTCTTCGTGTCCTTGGACATCCGAGCCCTTGTGCAGTATTACCAGCATGTGCAGCGGGCACAGCACCACCACCACTACCCTCCTGCCGCCCGCCCTCCACGGCAGGGTCGGCACCTTCACTACAAGACGTGGCGCAAAATCATTTTTGAGGGCGCGCACTCACCTCCATAAACAGGTGGGAACACATAGACACTTGGTGTGAGAAGACCTTACAAACATAACACAAAGAAAACTTGCAACTGAGGGATTTAGCAAATGATATTTAACAAGGCTCGGTTCTTGGACTCGGACTGGGTTTCCAGTAGATGTAAATGACTTGAGGAAATACGTTCCTTTATGCTTATCCAGTGAGAATAGAGGTTTGGGTTGAAATAGCGAAAAAAAAAACATATCTGCTGAGATTTTACATGCACGCAAGCAGCGTGTCTAGAGGAGGAGGAAGCGAGGGGGGGGGGAGGGTGTCTCCAGGATTCACCATAAACAAAGAAGCAAACAAGGGGGTTCGTTAGGAAAAGAGGGGTTCTGATCCTCTCTATACAACCCTCCACCCCCCTCATACAACCCTCCACCCCCCTCATACAACCCTCCACCCCGCTTCCACCACCTAAATTTTGAATGCCTGATTCACTCGTGAAGGAACTTTCAAATTTAATGTTTTCAAGAAGGTGCTTCATATCATTCAGGAATCCAAATAACCTGAAACTGATAAAACAGAGCTTGCAGAATGTGAGTATTGGGAAATTATAATTTGCCAATATCAGTATATATATATATATATATATATATATATATATATATATATATATATATATATATATATACATATATATATATGCTGAAACCCCTCACAGTTTGGTTTCCTGAACCCACTGCTTGTCTTCATCCCCGGAGTAATATGGGGAAATGTTTTGTTCTAAAATGCAACTCTGTTTTATGTTGTAATTTCTGTTTTCCAAGTTTTCAAAGATCCTGGATATTGTGCTCGTCCGTAAAGTACTAAAACATTGTCATCAATATTCTCTTGAACAAGTGCCTACGTTTCCAGGAGATGCATTTGGCATTTTTTAATAATATGGATGTTTTAATATCCCAAAGGTCCAAGAAAGAGATTACCGTGCTCTCTCTCTCTCTCTCTCTCTCTCTCTCTCTCTCTCTCTCTCTCTCTCTCTCTCTCTCTCTCTCTCTCTCTCTCTCTCTCTCTCTCTCTCTCTCTCTCTCACTCTCTCACTTCATCACTCAGAACATCTTCCAGGAGCCTACATAAAGAGTCATTCAGATTACCATACACCGCTTACATAAGACCATGTCTAGATTATAC